CAACAGCCTGGCTCCAGTAAATGTAAGGTCTTTGATGTAGATAGTTCATGAGAACTAGGAAAAAATACATTGGTTAATGGCTGTGTATGATTTAGTCTTTGTGTCTATATTGACCGCTTGTGAATGAAGATGCTATTCAGAAATTGAGTACTATACATAAAATTAATTTTAACAAGTAATTAATAATGATATCATTGTACCAACAAGTCCTTTAGAAAACTTTAATTTTTGTCAAAATTAGTTAAATGTAAAGTTTGTCTAAATTTTTCTGCACCAGGTACACCAGATCTGCTAAAACATGAAACTAAGTATACTACAAGTAAAGAACAATGTGAACATATTTATTTTTATCTCTTATTATTATTAGGAATAAAATATTGTGCAGAAAGAAACTACAATTGAACCAAATAAGTGGTAAAGGGTAAAAGGATGTTAATCTCATAACTATGGTGTTTATGTATCAAATATTCAGGGAAAACAAGTTTATTAAGCATAGTATCTTGTACAGGTCCACCTTCCAACATGATTCAAGTATTGAAAGATAAGGAAAGAAAATCTTAGAAACCATTATGGCACATTTGGCTCAGGTTGGAAAATGAGGGATACACTGCCTCTCAGGGAAATAATGAGTAGCCGAGAAGAAATCACCAAGGAATTCAGACTCTTCCCACCTAGGTTAGCCTACTAGAAAGTAAACATAGTCTCTAAAGTGTGCTCTGAGAAAGATAAAAAGATGTTATTTACCCAAAACAAACTCCTCATTGTTTTGTCAACATATTTAAATTTGTTAGCTTTAGTATTTTCTCATATGAATAAACTTGTGTCCATTGGACTAAATAATATAAAATATTGAGAGATAACTCAATTACAAAAGGTTAAATTTAATGTACAGATTAGTCAACAGAACACTAGCTACCACTTAAAATAGCGCTTAGTTCATGGAGACTGTTACTAAAGCACTTGATTCAAAGTTTTGCATAAAAACAAACTATTGGTGAAAAGGAAGAACCTGAAACATTGTATTTTATATGCAGATATATGGATTGTCATTGTAGAAATGACCCTGCAGGTAACCATTAAGCTTCATTGCATTTCTTAATGTCCTTTTGGTTCTATCATAAATTGCGGTCATGAGATTATGAGAGTATTTATAGAGTTAATATTTTCCAGCTCTCATCTGTGTCCATCTTCCTTTAGATTTCCTGCTTAGTACATAGAAGAGGCCCATTTGGAATCTGAGAAAACATCCAGAGACTTCTTCGAAAAGCTATACTTGTCCAAAATCCATACATTTTTTTTTCTTAACAGATGTAAGTTTGAAGGGGAAATACTTTATATCATAAGCCACTTGGGAATATTTTGTCTCTTAAAGATGACTTAGAATTTTCATTTGAGTGGCATGGATGCTAACAGTTTAAACGTAAAACTCATCTGTACTCTAGCTCTGAATCATTCCTTCCATGAACTCTGAATGCATTTTTATGATAAACACATACATGTGTATGAAGTATGTGACCTCACGGGCAGTTATCTGCAGTGTCAAGTACTATTGGCAGATACCCAAGAATTGATTGACACACATCTTATGGAACTGGAGTTAATTAATACGTCTACCAATTCCCAAAAGCACTACAGGAAACAGAATATCTGTTTAATACAGCAATCAATGGCATACTGTGTGTGGCCAGAAGGTATTCACTATACAGCAAGAGTAAGTTTGGAAATACAGAAATCAGGAGTGTAAGTATTGCTATTAAAATTCAAGGAAAGTAAAATAAGGTCTACTTAACTAAAGAGTAAATAAGCAGGGTATTTTCCAAACTGCTTATCATTTTTAAATGGAATTGTTAATTTCCTCCTATAACAAGATACAAAGTTTTTAAACAATAGAGGGAGTCTTGATTTATTTCAAAAGTGATGTCTTTATTTTGGTGGCCATTGGCCATCTGGAATAGTAGCCTATAAGGTCATTTTTTAGCAATGAGTTTCAACAATCCTGAGGCTCAATGTAAGACAAGTTATGTTAAAGGAAGAACTCTGCAAAGAAAAAAATGAATGTTAAAACTGAATGTCCATGAAAGCCATGATAAAGCAAAAAGCAAAATGTCCCTTTTTTGTATAATAAACTTATTTAAAATATATAAGAGCTGGACAGAATTAAAGGAAACTATTTCATTGTTTTATGTAGCGTGGGGCAGGTAACAGTAAAGTATACATGTTACTTCTAAACTAGAATCTAGGAAAAAGAAGTGTCCTGCTTTTATCTGAAAAACCATTCTTGCAATTAAGTTACTGATTTCAAACTTCATGAAAGTTTATGAACTGTCATCTAAAAATCCTGCCCTTGGTGTGATCGCAGTTTTATTTCTTACTCTTCCAATCTTTCCATTTTCCTTATTCTTTTCCCTAATGATGTGAAGCATAGTCTGTTTTACCAAACTTCACAAAGAGTGTAACTGTTTAAATCCAAGGGTAGTATCCTAAGTACCAATATAGATCAATTTAAAACAGACTCTCTCTTAAGGAAGCTTAAACATTGAAAATTAAATTTTATGTCATCTAGACAAATTATCTTGATAATTTCTTTTCCAGAATTTCCTAGATAGGCTGTCTAGACTACTCCAAATGCCCTAAGTAATTGAATAATCATCTCGCTGACCTCCTAAACAGCATGGGACAGTATTTCCCAATATATAGTTACCATACAAATAAAGATCACTTAGCTTCTGAAAGAAGACCTCTGTCAAGGGGTCTGAGTTTCATAATGTTAGAAAAATACTTGCACTACAATATTCCACATCAAAGGAGATCATATGGGATATTTACATATTTATTTCAATCAAAGAAATGGCCTCCTCCGTTTGCCTGAGTAAATGGCCTGGCTTCAGAATGTGTACTTTTCCATTCCCCCAACTACCCTTAAGTCAGCAATGAGCCATTAATTAATGAGTTGAGAAGGGATGTATTATGAACTGTACTTAATAGTAACTTCAAAAAGAAAACAAAATGGACACTTTTGGGAAAATGATAAAAATATGGCAACAGTATTTAATTTAATTTTTTAGTCCATAAATTAAATATTTAATTTAAGGTCATCTAAGCTTCACATTTAAAAATGAAGGAAAACAGGGCAAGGGCAGAATTGCCTGGTGACAGTGAGAGCCCAGTGCCATAATTTACAGCCTCTGATAAAGTGAAAGTGACACTTAAATACTAACAGGAAAGAGAGCAATGGGTTTCAGCCCTGAGATGCAGATTTATATTTTTAAAATGATAACTGACATTTCCAGCACCTACAACCTTTTAGATGATGTTAAAGTCTCATAACAACCGCATTAGGTATGGACCATTCTCTATTACTTTCTAGATTAGAAACAGAGACACAGAGAAAATGAGTGGCTTGCTCCATTTCAAGCATCTACAATGAATTGAGGTTGGACAAAAGCCCCGCAGTCTGAGGCCAGAGGACATGCTTTTAACAATGATAGGATTAAAACTCCTTGAGTTTCCATAGCAAAAATGTCAATGGGTCGGGCCCTGCTTGGAGAGATGGAAGGAAGTGGGAGGTAAATAGTCAACCTCTCACTTAAAATATATGAATACTGAAGATCAAAGAGGATTTGTTTAGTTTTGTTAGCCCTATTGTAAGACAGAGTCTCAGAAAGGGTAAGTAATTTTTCCAGCGCTCCACAGCTGGTAAGTTGTGGAACAAGATCAAAGCCATGTGTGACAGCAAAGCGCTTATCTTTCCACTGACCTGTACAAGGAGCTCAGCTCTCCTGATGCCATTGCTTCGACAGGGCGATGCCATGCAGACGCAGAAAGTGCAATATAATAGTAGGGAATTCTCTAGAGCTATTTCCAGAATATAAAAAAGTGGAACCATCAGCCCAGGCCCATTTTCTAGGGAACCTGACTATTGGAAATGTCTGATAAGGAGGCAAAGAGGGAAACATATCTAGAAGGTGCTAAAAAGTTAAGTGTACAAAGTCTCCAGAAACACATGCAAGAAATAATTATGAAAATAACGTCACAATATCATTTTGGTTTCTAAGCCTGTGGGTTGAAAGAACACATTTGTATTGATTTAGGACATCTTAAGAAAATGAAGAGTCTGGAGTTTGTTAGAAAGAAGTGTCTAACATGTAAATATATTTTATCTTTAGAGTTCCAGAAACATTCTGAGAACAAAGCCTTCATTTGATGAGTATTCCTGAATTCCAGTTTGGAAGAAAATCCTGTCACAAATGATTTTCTCACTGCGTGAACACTTATTCTAAAGATTTTGAGTCAGAAATTATAAAAGGGCTTATCATTAAAGGCTATTAGTAGCCCAATTCTGGAAACTGCTTTTAATGTTAGCAACTTTTTCTTTAAATACTCGCTTAATTTCAATTTTTACTTACGTCTACCTAGTTTTAATCTCCTCACTAAAATTTCTCACTAATCATTTTATAGGAATCATAGATACATTAAGGAAACATTTTTTCCCGTGTCACTAGAAGAGTAGCGAAAAATATGAAAATGTCACTTAGTTAAGCAAGAACATACATGTAAATAATTTAGGTCAGCATGAGAGCTGATCATTGTGCACATGTATGGCACCTTTTTCCTCCCTAGGCCGAAGAAAACAACTGGGGTGGCAGACACTTGTGACTGAGGATGGAAATGGCGGGGAAAGCTGGCAATATACAAATGAAAAAGAAAACACTCCGCCTTCAGCCTGCTGACATCTGCTGTACGTGCAAAATGGATTTGACTTAATAATCTAGGGCGAAGGCAAGTGTTTTCTTCCTTCCTTCCTCCTGTTCCATAGTTATTGTTGAGTGATGGTCTCATTGTTTTTGCATTCACAGATTAAAATTAATAACAGCCTCTGAATTTGAAGTAGGTCTCACTGAATAGGGAACCAAAGCTAAATGAACTGAAGAAATTAGTAATGAAGCATCTGAATAGGAAAGGGTCATGGACCAACACCATTTTTTAAAAGCCAGCTTTACCTCAGGATGATGTCCAATTTCAATGTAGGTGCAAATTGGATGAAAAGCCCCCGTTCCGCAGGCGTACAAGTGAGTCTGATTATAAGCTTTAAGCACCTTGATGAAATTAGCACATTCTTTCTGTAAAACAAAAGGAAAACCAGTGAGTTCTAGCACTCAGACTAAGGTATCCTCTAGGGTGCTAAGTATGATTGAATGGATTTTTTTTGTGTCCACTTTACAACACTTTCTTAAAATTGTTTTTCAAGTACCATTTTACAGCATTTTTAGGGTTTATTATTCTGTTGTTTGCTCATATTATATGAACTAAAAACACAGAGGTTCTTACCCTTTAGAGGGCTAAATAAAATATTTTCTTTCTCTAACTCTTTTAACAAAATTATTTGTCATTTATTCAAAGGTAGAATAAAATTGTAGATAACCAATAATCAAAGGTGCCTTTTCCAGAAATGAGAATAGCAAATTATTTGATTAATTAAAAAGTTAGATAAATACAATGGTAAAAATTTCTTTGCAAAAATAAACTTTAAATTTCTTTTTAGAAGAGGGAAACAAAAATAAACAATAATATAAATTGCTCTTAAACATGAAGTTTAAATATCAGTAGTAACCATGATGATGTTGAGTTCTGAAGTTCAAATTGACTTTGAACTTCAAAAACGCTGCTTGACAGTGAGTTCTACAGACCCCAAGATGTTAGAGCTACCTCCTTCTGAAAATATCGCTATAGCTGCAAAGATAATTTGGGAATATTTAAGATGAGATAAAGAAGATAGTAGCCTACAGATACAAACTCAGGACTGTCTGCAGGCTAACAGATGTTTTGTAGATTGGGTATAACTAAAAAATACTTTCCAGAAGTTCATGGATGACCAGAACACATCCATGGAACCTCTGCGCAATGAGCTGTGGATCTCCCAGGTAAAAAACAATTACTCATGAGGAAATTCTAGTCATGTCTTATTATTTATAGAAGTTCAGACATTGTTGGCATTTTATTTTCTGAATAAGGTATCATGAAATAAAATTGATAGAACTATGTATATTCTCTCTGGAGACCTGTATTTTGCCATGTATTATGTGAACCCACATATCTGGCCCAAACTTTCAGGGAAAAAAATACTTTCATTTCAATTTATAATTCAATTATTTATTTATTTACATTGAGAGACTTATGTTCCATAATATAAAGAAATTTTAGCATTTATTTTTGAACGTATTATGGTAGAAGAAATTTTATGTAATAAATAATTACAAAGCACAAGAACAGATACAAATAATGAGAAATTTTATGTACTGGTAACCCATTTACATATTTATGCATCTTAGAAAGTCAAGAACTCTTTGTCAGTGTCAATATCAGAAGTATCATCTTCCTCAGCTTCTACACTACCAGTGTCTTCTGAAGAGTCACTCTCCTCATCCCAGTAAATTTCAATGTCCTCAGTTCCATCCATAGCATCGCTGACGCTGCACTTTTTAAACTAGTTCACAGCCACTTCCTTCTTGACACTGTTCCCTGATCTTAAGATCCAATCATGAACCTGGGCGGTGCATGCTTTCTTGATCTTGCCTGTAGGTGTTAAATCATTACCAGCTGACTGTATCCCTGACTGTGTCCACTTTTTCTTCATTAGAGTCTTAGGGCTCTAGCCGTAAGCAAGTCCAAGGGCTTGCTTACTGACACATCAAGAGGTTGCAGGTGGCTGGTGAGCTCACCAGGTATCGCAGCAAGTTGGGTTTTCAAGTCCTCTGAGATTGCTTTTGTACTTTGTGTGACATGGGCTTTGAAGTGATCAGAAACAAGCAAAGCTGGTTTTCTAAGTAATCCTCCAGGCCTTTGTGACCAGACTTTGTTAAATCAGATTTTCACGTCTTCTTCATTTGACCATCCTCCTTCATGCATGTGGACACTAACTCTACTTGGAATCTTTTCTTTTGGAAACATTTTTCTTTTAAAGGTGGTAGCTTTGTCTCATCTATACAACAGGCTAGAACAACAGTGAAATGTGTTTTCTCATGACCACCGGTTTTAACAGTTATGGTCATTGCTGCTTTGACATCCACAGTTCTGTTGTGAGTCCACATCAAATGTGAGTGGGATCTCATCCATATTGGCGATTTGGGACAGTTCAAAATTGTCAGTCTTTCAAAGATTGATAACATAAAGAAATTCCAAAACTTGATTCTCATAAGCTGCGGGAAGTTTGGGGGTATGTTTCTTTTGTGTCTTCATGCTCAGGCCTTCTCTCTCCATGAAGTTAAAGCACCACTTGAGTCCCATAGAAGCGTCAATGTTTTTTCTCATGCAATCCTGTAACCTTCTTGTATCTTCTTGGTTGAAACAGAGATCCCAGTCTGACTCTGCTCCAGGATTCGAGATTCTGCTCCACCTCCGGCCACTTTGCAGGCTTCCCTCCCATTGCCTTCTTTGGTCTTGGCATCTGAAGAAGCTTTCCTTCCTGCTCCTTCCACCATCTGATGACACTCCCTGGGGGAGGAGGTCCAAAGTGTCTCCTGGCAGCTCTGCTGCCATGCTTTTTAGCAAATTTAATAATGTTTAGCTTAAAGTTTGCAGTGTACGAAAACCGTTTCAGCATTTTCCAAGGGATTTTCCAATAACCTGTCTAAAGTATACGAAGAGAAATGTTGCACTGTTCACCCTGTGGTAGTAAAATCAGCATCACTTAATTTGTCAACTGGAAACAAATGACATCACCTACCTTATCAAGTGCATGACAATTGGCATTGTCTATCTTACTCTGTGGACAGACAATGCTCTTCATTTCGTTTTGTCGAACAATTGGCCAAAAACATTTTCATTGTGAGTTCATAGTTAGGTTCAATAAAATTGATTATTATATCTCAGGTTATCATTTTGCATATGTGTATTGTTATTGTTTTCTAGAGTTACACTTTTAACACATAAGCATAAATAAAATAATTTAAAACATTTTTGTTGTTACAGAATTAGTACTACCCAGGTATAATGCATATCCTTATTTTTCTCTCAAAAATTTGGGCAAAAAAGTGCACACTATATATGGCAAAATATGGTATGCTAGTCTATTTGTAAATCCAATGGAAGAAAATATTTTTCTATGAGCAAACAGGAACCTTAGGCTTTTATCCATGTTGAGGAAAGATTTGAGGGAAAATGTCAGATACTCCTAACATAAGTTGGATAATTTTATTGTCAAAAAAAATCCAGAGCAAGAAATACTCAATTTTTGCAAAATATTTGAAATAGGTGAATCTATATTAATACTGTAAAAAGAAAACCTCAAACACTCCAAATAGCTTCAAAAATGTTATAGTTTACTGTCAAATCACAAATCTTAAAAATTGAATACATATAAGTAGAAGATAGAAAATATGAGTTCATCATGGAATACATATTTATCTTGAAAATATCTTAATGAATACCCAAGTGATAAATAAAAATTGTACTGAATATTATTTTTTATTGATCATAGACTTAATTAATTACTTGAATGTTTTTGCCTGTAAACATTTGGAATTCAGACCCAAGTATGTACTAGAAGGACAGATAAAGATCAAAAGCAGACTGCAGTACAAGCAAGGTTGGGATGCATAATAGAGGACTGGGTTGGTCCTGGCACCTCTAAGTGGATAACACTCCCAAAGTCACTTTCTGTGACTTAAAAAGTGAAAGCTCAGAATGTATTGTAGCTTATACAGTCAGTGGGAGTTTATGACCGAGGTATTAATTTAAGTACATTTTCATATGACATCTGTATTCTGTGTTTACAGCTAATCATTTTGGTCTTAATTTTATTCTTCCCCAAAAAGGGGGGCAGACAACCAAACTATGGAATAATTGATATTTAAATTCAGAATAAAACCTGAGGATATCCTATAAATATATTGTCCTCAAAGTGAATTATATAAATTTCAAGTTATTACTCCTCATGTTTTCTTAACATATGCTGAGTAGTTTAGGAGGGTAACCACAATAAACATCTCATTTCTCCCTCTGTTTTTTGCTACTTAGATCCTGATTTTTATTTTTGCCTGGTAAGGCATTATAACATATAAAATTAAGCTCTGAAATCAACTGAGTTTTCATGTTGCTGTAAAGAAAAATTTCCTAACGTAAAGTGTATATGGATCTCAGCCATGGTTCACTTTGAACATGGTATATCTTAAGCACAACTGTGAAACTGATACAACTTCACTTCTAAGACTCTTAGCAACAAACTTCCCATTCTGTAACAGTTTCTCCTCTTTCCCCAAGAGGATGGGGCATGGATGCTTGGGCAGAGGAAAGAGGTTGTGGAGAGGGAAACAGCTGATAAACTCATTTACAAAAGAAGCATTCATGGGTCTTACCCAAAGGATTAATTTGTACTTTTAAAAAGTTCAGTCATTTTCAAAGAACTCATTTTCAGGAAACTATTTTATTGCATTGCTTTCTTGGAAACGTGTAGGTGGCCACACACTCTGCTTTTATATAAAGACAGTCATCCCTGATTGTGGGTTGATTCGAAATTATAAATAACCAGTTCCATCACCATATGTTGAAACTAAGAGATTGGCAGCATATATATTGGTAAGCAAATGAATATTCTAATAAATAATAGTGGTAGTCCCAGATGGATGTTTTGTTCATTTTACAAAAGAACAGGATTTCAGTTTGTCTGCCGTGCTTTTAAAGATAATTCATGCACTTTTGAGTTTTCTAATCTTATTAGTAATACCTAAGTGCTTCTTAGAAATTTAAGAATAAGCTGTAATTCCTCACAATAAAAAAAAAATAAATAAAAGGAAGGGAATACCTTAGAAAAACAGATATTTGTGACCACAAATGAAGGCGCATGTCACCTCAGTAACTGTTTTGAATTCTAAAATCATAGAGTTTGTGGGTTCTTATCTCTTATAGATTGGATTACTAATTGGCAAAAATTAATGATTGAAAAACTGTCAGGGTTCTTGAAAACTATGGGATAGAGCCACACTGAATATCATAATTTTAATTTGTTCTCTATTGACTGTCAAAGAAGAACTTCTATAATATGACAACTATTCCTCCAGAGAGCAGCTGGAAAAAAAAAAAAAATCAATGTCAGAACTATAGCTGTGAAACCTGGCAAGTGTTT